GAGAGAGAGAGAGAGAGAGAGAGAGAGAGAGAGAGAGAGAGAGAGAGAGAGAGAGAGAGAGAGAGAGAGAGGTTGTCGACAAGAAGCAACACTAGATGAGTTCTTTGTGGACTTGTCTTTTGTGACTAAGCTGTTGTTAGATGATTAAGTGTGTATTGTCTGTGTGTGAACTATGGTAAGACTTCCAAGGCATTCTTGGCCTTGATGCGTATGGAAATCTTGGTAGGAGAACTTTTGCAGATGCGGTGCTGGATTAGTATGTACTTTCGAAGGGAGGCATGCAGGTATTCAGCAAATTAAGTCTGTGGTGCTCTTGGAAAGGCAGTTTAGGAGTTTGAGGGTTCAGTCTGTTGAAGTCGTACTGAAATGATGAGCCTGTTTGCGTATCAGCCTGATGTGCGGGGCATACTTTGGGAACGTGTGAGTTGGTTGCGTATCAGCCTGATGTACCGAAAGAAGAAGACTCCCTTTAGTTCATGGAAACTTTGTTTTTAACTTTTTAGTTTGCCTGGGGTTGTTGAAATGCGGTTGTGATTCTTGGAATGCTTGTAACATTGATTGATTGATTGGAGGAGGACAAGGATTTGAGAATTGAATTTCGTATTTCTGAGCTTCCGCTGTGTATTTCTCTCCGGACTGGTGTGGAATTGCCTCCTTCAGGTCTGCTTCACAATTGCATGCGTGTATGGGAACGTGTGAGTTGGTTGTGGGTCGGATGTCAATCAGTTACATAAACAGTTTGGATGCGAAAGCAGCTGAATCCCAAAGTATCGGCTGTCCCCTCTTGGGGGTGTGCAGTTTGGACCGTTTGGACTTGGGTTGATGACCCCTACCCTGCTCTCGTCGGCTGGGGTTTCGGTCCACTTGGGCGACTGCGGAGGGATGGATTTGGTGACTGGGTGTTGAGGGGTACCCTGGCTGTGTAAAGGGGTGAATAACTGAATATGGCATCTGGGTACCAAGGGATATCCTGGCTGAGATAATCAGCCCTGTCACCATGCGCTCGGGAGGGTATGGTACTCGTACACCCTGCACAACCTTTTTAATTAAACAAAGAAGAAAAAAGGAAAACTTGATAAGGAAAGTAATACACAACGGAAATGAGCAAACCAAGCATTGACAGAAAAAAAAATGGAAATGAAAACTTTAAAAAAAAAAAAGAAGAAAAAGAGACCATGAAGAGTGGGATAGAAAAAGGATGCACGTGAGTTGTACCTGTTTTTGCAAGGTGAACGGTGCTCTTAAGCCATCAGTAACCCCGGGCGGGGCCTTAGGCCCCGCCCCGTCTGGCCCCCCTTTGACGCAAATGCAAATGGACCCGCACGGCGTACCGATTCACCCACCGTGGTAACTGGCTAAAAACGTGGAGGTATTGGTGGTTTAAAGTTTAAACCACTGCCCGAAAGAACAAAATGAAACCGGTGCAGGCCTCCTTTTGGCTGGCGCCCACAGCCATTTTGCTCTGGAGGCCGAGCCTCGAAAGCTGTGGCCGCATGCACGCTGCGACTTTGAAAAAAAGGCTGGGAAGCGTCCTGGTGGCTTAAGCAGTTTTTGCAAATTAGTAAGGTCTGGTCTCTACTTCGCGAGCCCAGAAAATTGAAATCTGTTTTTGGCCGGCAACGGCAAGCAGAATCCATTGCGGTCGCGACTTTTCCAATTTCTGCATTTGCAGATAGCGCTTACTTTTTTGCTGGCGGTGACCAATTTCTTCTCCTGTGTTTCTTCATCCCTGCTGACTCATGACATTCGTGTTTAACTTGCGCAATGCGCAGCGCATTCTACTTGAACTACACACTGGTCCTTAATCAACTGCGATGCGAGGAAAGCGACCCTGAGAAGCTCATCAGGCAAAGTTACCGGCAGTTCCAAGCGGATAGGGGTCTACCTGCGCTGAAGGTATTTGACTCATTTGAGCTCTGCATTACTTGTATTCAGCAGAACCGCTCTGATTGTCTCTCTCTGGATTCTATTGAGACCTTTAGAGCGGGTTCTGCATAGGTCTGCTCTTTTTTACTCGTCTGCTCCCTTCTGGGTATTAAAGGCGCACTGCCATTTTTTTCTCGTCTGCTCATGGATGACTCACCGCAGAAGCTATAATGTGGTATTACTGTGTCCCTCTTTCCATTTGTTGTTTGATTCTTTGTGCCTCTATCCTTGCCGATTCATCTTCCTGTGTCCTTCCCTCGGCAAGCTTTGCCATGATGCCATCCATCTGTACGTCCGTCCGCGTCATCCCCTCCCTCCTTCCATCTCTGTCCGTTCTTTTTTTTGTCTCCCAATTGCTCAGACCGCGCCTATATCCCTCCTGTTGTCCCTCCATCCCTCTGTATCTGTCTGTCTGCTCCCTTGTTCCCTCATCTGCCCTCCTGCCCATCCCGTGCGCAGGGCATCACCAAAATCCATCCACCCTTCCAACCATCCATCTGTCTATCTTGGCTGCCTCTCCCACTATTTCTCTATGTGGCCATCAGTTAATCATCGAGCTCTTTCTCTGTGTTCATCTGTCCTACTCTACCTCCATTCATCCCTGCATTTTCATCAGCTACTCACTCACATCCCTCCCCCCCTCCCTCCTATTCCTTTCACCTTTTCTCGATCATCCCTCGGATCCCTTCCACCCCCTCCCTTCGACCCCTCACCTCTCCCATCCATTCCCCACGTCTCTCCCATGTTCCAGCTCTCTTCCTTCCTCCCTCTCTCCACCCACCCCATCTATCCATCCGTTCTGTCCCTCTCGTCTCTCCCGTATTCAAGCTCTCTTCCTTCCTCTCTCTCCGTACCCATCTATTCATCCCCATTCTATCCAGCCCTACATGCATGCATCCGTCTATCCATCCACTCATCTATCTGTCCATCCGCCCTGTTCGATCAATCCCATCCATAGATCGACCCATCTGTTTCTGCGTTTCTCACTACCTTCATCTTTCTGTGTCTCTCTCTTTATGGGTCCCTCTGTTCCTCTCCTTTATCGATGGCTCTGCGCAATTAGTGGTAGATTTATGGCTTGTATGCCATGGGAAAAGAGAAACCTTGTGATCTCGTTTGCTTTTGTATTGTGAATTGGGTCATCCCTTCTTGCATGAATGGCCAAGCTCTGGTGAATGTCTGGAGGGGCTGAAAGTGTATGTGGATGGGAATTGATGATTGGTGCGGAAAGTTGCATGTCGTGAGGGAATGTACTGCTTCATCCAAAAAAAATAACCTCCCCCCCCCCAGACGCTGCAAGCGGGGATGGATCATGTGTGACATCCTAGACTGTGATGAAGGGCAGACTTGCGGAATGTCCATCCGTCTTGCTGTCTACCTTTTGGTAAAAAATATGATGTCTTGCCGTCTTGCTGTCTACCTTTTGGGAAAAAAAATGACGAGATTGCGGATGTTTTTCTTTTCCTTTTCAAATTTGTGGTGGCAGCGGAAGATTGAGGAAATGGAAGAGGAGCTGTCCAATTTTGCAATTCAAGAAGAAGCTGAAGTGAAGGAATATTACACTTTGAGGGAACAGGAGAGGAAATTGAAACAGGACATCCGGGATGTGGTTTTGGCCCCGAAGAATGCGCTCCCATTCCTGCAACCGGGGCGAATTGCACGCATATACGTTGATCACAATGCAGTGAAGGATGCGAGAGAGATTCCCGGCGAAGAAAGCACAGCATGGGGAGTCATTGTAAATTTTGAGAAGAATCCGACCAAGCAGCAGAAGCAGGAAGGTTAGTGGTGATGTTCGTGACACGGCAGCCGTCTTAATGAATACACTTTTGAGTCGTTTTGAGTCTTTTCCTCCTTTGCTGCTTCCCATCTGTTCCATTCAGCCACAAGACGGGGCCACAGTTCCACTCTTCTTTTCCTCTTTTTTATTTTGTTTTCTAATTTTACTTCGCTATTAAATTTTGAAATGGTGAGGTGGTAGGGCTGTAGTTTGAGCGGAAGATACTACGTCCCTTACTTGCTATACGCCAAACAGTCGGAATTGCACTGCAGGAATTGCTACAGTGTTATACAGCAGTGGGAATTGCATTGAATGTTTGGAAGCAAAGTCACAGTCGGAATTGACTCGAAAGCGGCATTCAGGAGGTTGTGGTTCGATTCCCCACAGTCCCCAATCGAGCTCCCACACCTCCTGAGCCGCGCTGCGGGTTCACCGGCTGAGATAGTCAGCTTGTCCCTTGGTTGGTGGGGAACGCCACCCGTTGCCGTGGGTTAGGTTCAAGGCTCAACCCATAACCCTTAGTGTAGCTAGCCGCTGAAGGGTTAGATCAAGTTCTGTATCATTCCTAGTTAGGTAGGTAGTGGGAGGTATATTGAGAGAAGAATATAGCTTAGTTTTTTTTTTTTTAAAGTTTAAGCCATGGTTGCATCCCTGCCGACCGCTGACCCCGACCGTCGACCGTACTGCAGCCGACCAGTAGGGCCGACCGGTCGATGGTCTGCCGACCAGTCAGAAAACAACCATCCATTAAATTTTTTTCAGATCTGAGTTGGAAGCTGTACTGCGCTTGCTGAGTACAGCCCAAATCCGCTGAGAAAGTTTTGGGGATGGGGGGGTTGGGGGAGGGGTGTATAGGGGGATATAGGGGGGTATAGCGGTGGTATAGGGGGTACTGGGGGGGGTATGWGGGTGTTGGGGGGCAGTTTGTGGGTGTTGGGGGGCAGTTTGTGGGTGTTGGGGGGCGGTTTGTGGGTGTTGGGGGGGKGTATGGGGGTATTTGGGGTTGGTATGGGGGTGTTTGTGGGGTTATTAGGGGTTCTGGACCCTTTTTTTTTTTCTTTTTTTTTTTTGTGGTGTGCCGACGACCCCTGACCAGTAGGTGCCGACCAGCCGACCGGTCGGCGGGTCGGCAGCCGACCAGTCAAGGGTCGCCGACGGTCGGGGTGGTTTAAACCAAATTCAGTTTTGGAATTACACTGAAGGTGTTGCCATATTGTTATACGGCCGTGAAAATTCAAATTGCATTGAATGTTCTCGGAAGCAACTGACATGCTGCAACTTGACTGTGCGTTCGATTCCGTTGCGGTGCAGATGCGCAAGATGGAGCTATGGTTCTAGCGAGTAGCCAGCAATATATAGTGGATATGGTGGTGCACTGTGCACTTGATGGGGGCGATAGCGATACTCGGAGCGGAAGAAAGAAAATCGCAAAACCGGTTCCTCATGGCCAGAAGGGTGAGCCGGTTGTTGTTGCTCTTCCTTTGTCTCAGGTACAGCTCAATAACAAAAAAAAAGAAGAAGAAAGAAGTGAAGAAAGAAGAAGCTCTTCCCCAGACTGAGCTAGTGGTCCTTTGAAAAGGAGGAAGGGGGGGGGGGGGAGTGGGGCTCTGTCAAAGTCCCCAGTTGTTTTGCTGAAATGCGCTGTCGGTCACGACTCCTGTTTCGGTTCACTTATCAGCATTTGACGGCAGTAAAAGTTTGTTTATCGTCAAGCTTACCAGAATTTGCCGCCAATCTTTACCGAAACCTCTCTGAAAAACTACTACCGTCGTCACCCGAATATAACTCCCGGTCATTGTCACTGTATCTAGAGTCTAGACTGAAGCTGCACCAAATACAGCTATAATGACTGGGTGTTCTATTCGGGTGAAGACGGTAGTCAACTGTTCGAGTGGTCTTCCCTTCCAGTTTCGGAAAAGCTTATGAGTGCTTTAGTATAATTTTAAATTATAATTTTATAATATTAAATCAGTAGCTGCCGTGAGAAAGTTTAGAATTTCCACAACCTTATCCGTTGTTACGGAAACCAGTGTGAAAAAGAAATGTCAGATCTGGCATGTGTACTTTGACAAAAATGGTGAAACAAATTGCAGTGCAAAACAAAAATCATAAAAGTACTTGAGGCATTCGTTTTGACCCGCTATGCCCCTGACTCGCATATTCCTTCCTGATCATCATTTCGGAGTTCGAACCCTTGTCAGAAGAGAGAAGGCAGGAGGTAAAGACAATGGCGAGGAGAAGTAAAGATAAATATGAAAGGGAAGAAGCAACCAAATTTGTCGAGTTTTGATGGCTGTGAAGATGGTTATGGTGGTAGCTGTGAGGGTAGTCATGAAATTGCACATGAACATGGTTATGGTGGTGATGGTGGATACGAAGGTGGTTATAAATGTGGTTATGAAGCTGGTTATGCTTGTAAATCTGTTCACAGTTATGAACGTGGACGTTATAGGGTCTAGATTATGTTGGTTATGAAGATTGTTGTGAAGGTGGTCATGAAGCTGGTTACGTTTATGAAGCCGCCTATGGTTATGCGTGGTTATGATTATGAAAATGGACTTTATGAAGAGAAGGCGTAGATAAGAAAAATGCAGAGGAGAGGAAAGGCAATACGAAGGTGGTTATAAATGTGGTTATGAACCTGGTTATGAACCTGGTTAAATGTGGTCATGAAGCTGGTTAAATGTGGTTATGAAGCTGGTTAAATGTGGTTATGACGCTGTACTTTCATTGCATTCAAAGTTCAGAGTAAAGGCAATTCGGAGAGGAAGCAACGGCGGGGGGAACCCACTTACTGTCCAGTATATGGCAGGCTGCTCTCCGATTGCCGCCGGGTCTTCGCAGTACTTTCGTTGCATTCAAATTTCAAAAACCGGTTTGCCACATTGTATGTTTATGCTGTATCTTGTATCTGTGTGCAAGATGTCGTGATAGCTGCCCTTGAAGAGAACACTTGGGGGGTTTGGTGGTGCTCAGTGTGTCTTACTTGTATGTTTCCGGTGACAGATTGAAGCGTTGAGCTCGGTGCGTGTATATATTCCCAAGGATCTTAGGCCATTGGAAAACCGGGAGCATGTGTCGAAGTACGTATATTGTTAACTTCACGGACTCCGCCATCGCTCATCGCGGTTGTCTCAATTGTTACTCCTAGCTTCCTCGCAACAAGCGCATCAACTTTTGGCATCAAGAACTACATCGTAAATTTTCCCTGAAGCATGATTTGAAGTTTCTTTTATTAAGGATGTATTGCATGTGATGCAGACTTGATTTTCTTTTTTCCTGTTATGTTCTTTTTTCTTTTAACTTTAATTTCTTTCCACTAATTAGCAGGGCTGGTCCCCGGTTGGACCGGGTCCCCCTCCCCCGACCGGGCGGTCGACCAGCCCAGCAGACTCCCGGTTGAGTCCAGCACGTTACGCTGGGGGGGGTGGGGGGGAGGGGGGAGGTACTGGGGAGTCACGGGCATCCTGGCGATTGCCCAGCCCCTAGGAGGCCGCCGCCTCTTTAAAAAAAATGGGCCATCTTCGACCCCACTTCTTGAGAAAAATGGGTGGAGGATCTCCGCCACTGATCTTCGTAGATCAGTGGCAGAAAGTCGCCATGCAGTTTTCTCAAGATGCGGGTCCAACAAGGCCCGTTTTTCAATTTGACATCTTGTGGTCCAACGGACCAGATATCATTGGCAAGACCTGATGCTCGTTCACCCTCAGCCACGAGGTAAACACTATGCTTTTGCTGCGGCTCTGCTGAGTTTATATGCTTCTGCAACGTCCCTACGCTGCGGGGAAAAAGTTATGGGTTTGGGTTTCGGAATTGTGAAGTCAGAGCTGTCCGAGGTGCAAGCCCAAGAACGGACCTAAGCTATATTCTTCTCTCAATCTACCTCGCTCCACTAGATGTATCTGTATAGACTGCCAGGCAAGATACTTCCAGGTGGATGACCCACCGACATATGTAGAAAAAAACAAACAGAAAATGCTCTGCCTGCACGAGCTGAAACCTGAACTCGTAACTTTTCTGCTGTCGAGATACACTCTGGAAGAGCTATAAGTTTTGGCAAGGACCTCCTCAAATCATATCTTGTTCAGCTCGAGGGGTATCACTATCAGATGGCCCAGTCCATGAAACTCGATGATGCTGAATTGGAGTTCTTGGGCCACGGGGGGGTCAGATAAATAAGCTTGCTTACTCGACCCCTCCCCCTGAAGCCATAGCTGCCGGAATATTTCAATAATACCCCCCTCCCCCCTCCCCCCCCTCTTGGAACCCCCCCAAAAAATATTGCACCTCCAAAATTTTATAGCGGATTTCGACAGCTCTTGAAGAGCGCAGTCGCAATCAGCCAAAAAAAAATAAAAAAGTAATTTAAAAAAAGAAAAAAGAAAAACAATTGGTCAGTTTTTTATTTTTTTCTTAGAGCTGGTTTCCCGGTTCACCTCCCCTGGGCCGGGACGGCTCCAGTTGGACCGGGCAAGCTCAACCAGCCGGTTGCCGGCCCAGTTCTGCTATTTAGTATTTTGAACTATTTTCTTGTAATTTTATTTTCCTATCTGGTCACAACCATAAAAAGTGGATGGTTGCCCACAATTCAAGAGTTCAGTGGGCAATACCTGTTGAAGGATGCGATGCACTCCGTCTGTATGACACTGAGACTTTAAGAGTTCATTGTCTTCACGACTGTACGTCTATCACACTTAAGAGTTCCTTGTCTGTACGACTGCACGACTGTACGACTCCACGACTGTATGACTCCACGACTGTACGACTCCACGACTGTTCGACAGTACGACTCTATGACTGCATGACCGTACGACTTTCAAATTCTTTGTCTGCACGACCGTACAAGTGTACGGCTGTGAGACTTCAGAGCTCATTGTCTGTACAACTGTACAACTGTACGACTGTGAGATCTAAATAGTTCATTGCCTATTTGACTGTAGAGTTGTAATTGTCGGTGGGACTGTTTGGCTGTAAGACTTACTGCGTATCTGTTCATGGTTCGTTTTGAAATTAGTTGACAACTTGACAGGTGCATTACTCCTGATGAGTCCGTTAAACTCCTCCGAAACCCAGTCTGTCATAGCCCCTCGTTTCGTGCCCTTTTCTCCCTTTCCGGCTACGGTTCACAGGGCGGTTCTCTATGACGATCTAGTCGAATAAAGTAATGAATGTGTAATTGCTTGGTGATGGTATAATCCGATGGTGGACAACCGCTCAGCGCTCGCATCTCATCCGATGAGGCCAAAATTGAACCGTGAAGTCGCCCAGTGTTATGGTTAGAGGGCCCTTAGAGGCGCTTCAAGGGCGTTAGAGGTCGTCTGGCATAGCGAGGGAGAGTTGAGTTGGATGGGTGCATTTGAAGGTACGCTAGGATTAAGGAGAGTAGTAGCGCCAACCTGGCCAGGCTCCTTTCGAATTGTTGCAGCTCTCATTTTTTGCGTGTTTTTCTTTCTTTTGGCGATGGATGATGATCACTTTGCTTAGCGATCACAAGAGAATTACAATCAGCAACGGGAAACCGAGTAACGACTTGAAAGGAGCCCATTTTGTTTTGTTTTGTAGTTTGGAAAAAGAAATAAAAAACTAAACTGTGTTTGAACTTTGAATCATTTGTTTGTATTGCAGGATTTTGCGAGAGGTCTTTCAGCGGTTCCCGAATGGTTTGCAGTTGCTTGACCCTGAGGAAGATATGCAGGTGAGGGATCTTTCAGTGACTGCCCAGACCACATTCTTGCAGCTTCTCTGGAATGCCAAGTCATGCATGGCATCCGCAATGTTTTCTTCTTCTTTTTTCTTTCTTTGGTGACAAGTTTTGCTTCTAGTTTACCAAGAAAGGGCGTAATTTCAAAGCATAAGAAAGGGAAAACAAGTTAAACAAACAAACAAAAAAAAAACACCATGCATTTGCTATACATACTGAAGAGTGTTGGAGTTCGGTGTGGCGTAGAGTCCATTAGAGTGTGACTCTTAGTGCCTATCGGACGCAGTTTTAGTTACTTTTTAACGTACCTAGGTTACTTTTAGTTACTTTTTTACCTAGCTAGGTTAATTTTAGTTACTTTTTAACCTAGCTAGGTCCACTTTGAACTTCCTTTTCTTTTTAACCTACCTAGGTTACTTTTAGTTACTTTTTAACCTAGCTAGGTTACTTTTAGTTACTTTTTAACCTAGCTAGGTTACTTTTAGTTACTTTTTAACCTAGCTAGGTCCACTTTGAACTTCCTTTTCTTTTTAACCTACCTAGGTTACTTTTAGTTAACTGTTTTACCTAGCTAGGTTACTTTTAGTTACTTTTTTAACCTAGCTAGGTCCACTTTGAACTTCCTTTTCTAGTGCAGGACCCAGGTCTCTTCCACGGCCTTGAGGTGGCATCATCCCAGAAGGACCAACCCCCCCAGAGTTCTTTTGTTCATCTTAAGTCCAACAGGATTCAAGCTTGGGTCTGTTCATGGGTGTACCATTCAGCCACATTGGGCTGGGTATTCTGTTACAGGTCAGGGTGTGGAGATAGGTTCATTCTGAGCTCCTCCCCTTGCTACCTTTTAATTTATGCCTTCACCGTTTTGAGCTTGATCATTACCTCGTAAGTTTCCATAGAAGGTTTACCGACCACACTTTCAGCACGCTCATGGAGGTAGCTCCATTTTGAACTCTTCTGTTGATGCTGTGCCCTTTTTCAGCTAGCTCCATTTATATTATTATTATTATTATTATTATTATTATTATTATTATTATTATTATTAATTTTTATTTTATTTTATTTTTTCATCTCCGCGCCCCCTTCTGTTCTGGGGGCCATCAGCATGGTTGCTTATCACTGGCAAGCATGAGTAGTATTGAGTACAAAGAAGCTAGCTCCGTTTTGAGCGTTTTTTTTCCCCCTTCTTTAAAACAGGAGCTACTGTCTGTTCGTGGGGGGCGGCACCTGCTGGGACCCGGCCCACACAGTTCCATTTTGAGTTTCCCATTTGTCCTTTAGGTTGATGCAGTTTTATTTGGAGCTTCCTTTTGATACAGTTAAGTTTAGGGACCAGGCTGCTACCTAGCTCCACTATGGGCTCCCCTTTCTGGTATGGTTGAGGCTGTGAAAATAGTAGCTCTGTTTTGAGCTTGTACCCTGGTTGCAGTTCAGCTCTGGGCTTTCGTTTTGATACCGATATCAGCTACTGTCCTCCCCTGAACATTATGCACCCTGATAATAATTTACTAAGTTATACAATTATTATATTTCCGGTCGGATACTGTTAAAATGAGGGTGCGTTCTGTACGGGGGAAAACAGTAGCTAGCCACATTTTGAGCTTCCTTTAGATACTGATTTCATCTAGCTAGCTCTAGCTCCATTTTGAGCTTCCCTTTGACTTGTGTCATTTGTCTTCTCTATCTCATTAAACCACCAGTACCTTTCCCGTATGTCGACCGCGGGCACTGCGCGCCGGCCCGAAAATCAAGAGTGGTCGCCGATTTGAGTTATCGGCGGCCGCCCTTCCGTTTCAGGCCAGCGCGTTACCCGGCGCACCTCTGAAAAAATAGGTGGGAAAGGTACTGGTGGTTTAAATTTTATTTCAAATTTAATATTTATTTGTTTGTGGCGTCGATGAATTGTAGTACCTACCTTCTTGCTATATAGTAGATGCAAGGATTCATTTTGACAATTTTGACAATTTTCGCAATTATCGATTTTGGAATTTGAATTTCAATTTTACCTATACAGTCGATCAGCTATGAATAACTCTTTCGGCAATTAGGAGGCTGAGGTCTCAGGGTATTCAGTACTAAGTACTACTAACTATTGTACACCAATCATCTCCTTATTGCTGGTTTGATGTGCGCAGCAAGGGGGAGGGGTCGACCGCCCCTCTCATAGTACTATGATAGTAACACTTGGTGACAAACTGTTGATTTGACAACTTCCACTGACCCCCTTTTATTTTTCACAATCTTCAATTTTGCAGCCACACGTTGCCTTTGTGGAATTTTCGGTTCAATTTGTGTGTGTGTCTGTGTGTGTGGCCTTGATGCTTCCATCGCAATGCTTTTGTCAACTATATTGCCAGGCTTTGGTAGTTAGTAACGATTTGTGTGTGTGTGTGTGTGTGTGTGTGTGTGTGTGTGTGTGTGTGTGTGTGTGTGTGTGTGTGTAGCACTGTTTGTGTGCGTGTGTAGCACTGTTTGTGTGCGTGTGTGGCATGATTTGTCCGTGTGTGTGTGTGTGCGCGGCACGATGCTGCCCTCAAAGCAGCACATGTTATTAACTTCTCTGAGGCCCACATTGTGATTTTCAAGTTTTTGGTAATTATAACTGATTGCACCTTTAGGATGTTCTCAGCTGCATCTGTATATGTTTGTGTTGTGAAGACTTAGAAGTTAGAACGATTATCTCTTCCTCTACTAATGCTTACGGGACGCGGGCTGCGTACGCGGAGGCCGCTGCGTGGTGCCAACCGTACGATGTGTGATCTGCGGCTGCCGTCTTGCATCCAACGTTCCACGACGTCTAAATGTTGGCACGTATGTGATTTGCCGTGATCGAGGCCAGCCCTCAGATAAGAGATTGTGAGACGTCCGATGTGGAATCTGACGCACCTGTCGCGGCGCGGAAATATGTTTGGGAAAAAAAAAAAGGCGAGTGGCCCGTTTTCCATGCATTTGGTCCAGATACGGGGTCGGGTGTATGTGCGGTGTTATGTAGTGGAGCGATGCCCTTTCTCAAGTCAGGAAATCCGTGATGTTGAAGCTTCAAAAAAAAAAAAAAGAAGGAAACTCTTAAGGGACGCAAAGGTCTGTGCTTTGATCGATGTGCTTGGGTCTGTTTCTGGGCTAGTTTCGTTTGTTCTTTTTTGCTTTAGGGGGTCTCTTCCGGCTGTGAGCAGTGTGCATGGATTTAGCCACTTTCTGCGGCCGGGAAATGTCAGGGGGAAAAAGAAAAAAAAAAGGAAAAAAGTAGTCAGGCCCGCCCACCTATGCAACCTGCCTGCCCACCTACGCGACCTGCCTGCACTATTGGACGTACCTGCCCTAGGCCCCCTACGTGCACACTCGGACGAGCCTGCCCTGCGCGACCAACCCTACACGACCGACCTGCACTGCAGACGTCCCTGCCCTGCGCGGCCTACCTGCACTGGCAGATGTGCCTACCATACGCGGCCTTTCTCTCTCTCTCTCTCTCTCTCTCTCTCTCTCTCTCTCTCTCTC